AGGCGGTGTTAGTGAAGAAGATTATGGTTACAAGTGATGCTTTGTTCCATGTCTGGCATAATGCACATAGGTAAAAAGGGAGGCTGCTTCAGAGATCACCCTCATGAACACCACAAGGAGACCATGGCTATGCTTACATGAATGACACCTTAGCTCGACAAATAAAGTTGACCCATTGAGTCTACTCTAACCACAGTGCTTAGATGTATTCGCATCAACCCATATGACGTCGAACAATCCCAACGCAACCTCCGTGACCCGTCGATCGTTTCTGGTTTGCTCAGCATGACGGAAGTGACAAGCTTTCTAACTCTGAATCTATTTAAAGCAGCGAAAATGGCAATCAATGCTGCTGCGCTTGCTCTCTGTTTAACTTTCCGGTAAAGGCCCGTTCACACTCTTGCGACCGAGTAAGATTGAGAAAGACCAGACCGGTTTTTAAGCCTCTTGCAATCTTTTAGGACCAGCTCCGCTGCATCACGTCCGGTCCTAAGAAGTCGCAAAAGGCTTAAAAACTGGTCTGGTCTCTCTCAGTCTTACTCGGTCGCAAGAGTGTGAACGGCGCTTAACTTTACTTGAAGCTGAAAACAATGTGGCCAGCTGCTGCCTTGGTTGCCGGCCTGTTGATTGTTTAGTATCCCCTCTTGACTTAATGCAACATTTCTGTCATTCCTAGCGCGAACACTCAAATTGAGTTACTTGCATTTACATGGAGACCTTCATCTGGTTTGAAAATCGCAAGTCACCAAACTTTTAGTGGACAGCATTGGGTGAGGTTTAACACACTTGGCTTGCAAATGAAGGCATTTACATAGGCCAATTTAATATGCTAACTAGATTTATTTATTTATTTACAATACTGTGAACCTTACAGTCAACAAAGGAGAGAAAAATAAGTTGAACAAGCCAAGCAAAATGCAGTCACACTCAAGTGAGTACTTAGGCACATGCAGAGGTGCGGTCACACCCTGCACATCTGAAGATGTATTCCGCACACATACATTATTCAGTTAAAAATTCGCGCAATGATATGACTTGAGATTACAGTAGCTGACGACTTCATTTGGCACAGCGTTCCACTTTACTATTGTCCCACAAAAGAAAGAATACTGATGTTGCCAGTCCTTTGGGAACGAGACGTTGAAGGCCGCAAGTAAAGCTGCGGATCTAGCTATGTCATTCCAGTCGTTATGGAAAAGAGTTCTTTTAACCTTGATATTTTCCTTCGCTTTGCCAGCGAGTCAAGCTGCACCTCTTGTCTCATTGAAGAAACAGATTCTGTACGTTTATATCTGGAGAATTAGATAGTGTCTCATCCATGTTAACATAACTCGTGTCAGGCGTAGAAAGATTGCTTCATCTTACACTACTTCGCACCAAGGAACACTAGGGATGCAGCCCTAAATCTTAGGGAATCTTGTCATTGGAGGGTAGAACAAATGCTAAGGCAGAGGGGTCATTAAATTCTTCATCATGATAATTGCCACCCTAAACATAGCTAAATAACCCTTGTTTTGTGAAAAAGATAGCTTGTGTTTATAAGACCAAAGAATCTAGTTTGAAGCAAGTTTAAGTATGAATAACCCCCCTGTGTACCCGAAGTTTTTGTTTGTTTTCTTGTAGTGAAGCAATCTGTCTGCATTTAGTTTTTACTTTCTGCTTTATAACTACGATTTTCCTGTTTTCGTTAAATTCGAAGGGTATTTCTCGAAGCTTATTTTTAGCCAAACATTCTGAGCTTATCTAAGTTTATTTTTGTTAGATTCCTGATTCCCTGAAATTTAGCGTTTCATTTTGCAGTGTTTTCTATTTTTCAAGAATAAAAATATATAATATCCTTGTGTAAACATGCCAGACACAAAAAAATGTACTTGCATCAAATAATATTTCTCCACTTGAACTGGGCCCGGCCTCTCATGCAAGTAGTGATACTAATCTGTCCCACGACAAAAATTAAAAACAAGTGTTGCTTCGATAAATGTTGAATCGTACGCGTGCATGAATATTCAACTTGAAGTACGCATTTCGTGCTTGACATTTGCGCGAGCGATGACTTCAGCCACGAGAGGAAGGCGACGGCTTGGCGACGTCTTCGTGCAAATCAGCTTGGTGGTCGGGAGTGTCGTACGGGATGAATACCAATTCTGATCGGTCCAAAATTTCTCTTTCAAAGGTAGACAGAATTCGCCGGTACTGCAAAACGACAGTTTTGAAGTCCCACGCCCGTTGTCCGCTGCCATTGCCGTCCCCGCGAGTCCCACAATATGCGAAACGATGCCACGTTGAGAATTATGCAGCGAATGCAGAGAATGCTTCGGGTTCTCTGTGCAACCTTTTTTTTTCAACCAACCTATTTGCAGCTTTTTAGAAGCCACAAAAAATGAGCTTCAAATTTTTCTCTATTTTCAATACTGAGTGTGTGCCTTCAACGACCCACGACTTTGATCAAATTCGGTGGTTGTGTCTAAACCTTAGAAAATGGCCTGTGACCACAGAAAAGAGTGAGCGCGACTCAAACTGGCCAGTTCTTGATTGCTGGTTTTCGGGCGGAAAAAAACCAAATTTCGGGCCACAAATTGTGTTCTGGGTATTTGGGCCCTCATATGTCAGGTACAACTAAAAACCTCGGCGAGCGTAAATACCCCGTCAGTGTCCCTTTAAGATGGGACGATATCAAGGACGAACTTTTAGGCGACCGATCTTTCGCCGTGTACTTTTTTTTGCCTTGTTAACACGGAAATTCGCAGTCTGGACTATAAACAGCTAGTTTGGGGATGGATCGGGCAAATACGGGCATTTTTGTCTCATTGTCACAAATACCCATTACCCCGGTCTAAAAAAAAAAAATCCAAAAACTTTCTAGGATATTGGTGAACCCAAGAGGTCACAGTGTGCACCCGGATGTCGCGGGTCTTGCGACTAAAGTTGTGCACCAAGAAATAATCTTTTTTGTACGTAAAATGGGTCATTATTGTTTGCAGTCTATTGTTTGAGATTGTGTAAGACCTACGACCGGGAACAAAGAATAAACCCTAAAGCAGCTAGGTCACCTCACTCTAGACTTCGTCATTGTTTGAAGAATGAGAGAGAAGCTGTGGACCCACAAAGCTAATTCTTTCTACAGTGCAACCCATTTACAATTATACCACATATAACAATGTACAGCTTATAACAATCATTTTCTAGATTTTCTAGACAGGAAATTATCAGTTTCTAGTCCAGATACAACAATATTCGGTTATAACGATTGCAATTTCGGGTTTCCTTATTATCAGTATAAGTGGATTGCACTGTACACTCCGTTTCGCTGTTGGCATACGGCAAAGGCTACGGTCCAAGTGAACAAATTGGCACGTCAAGACACGCGTCTCACTAGTGTGCACAGTGCTGTCGAAGAAACGGCCAGGAGAGAGAATGACACTTTTGTACAAATCTTGAGTGACAGGCTCTGGGGGACGTCTGTGACACACAAAAGATGGTGCCGAGTTCCTCCTTCCCCTCTTCTCCAACTGCTTGGGTTATGCGAAAACCACCTACAGTCTAGCCCCTGCCTGTCACATGCTTTGCCTCCATCACTCCGATAAGCTCGAGGGGGCAGTGGCATTCGCTCTTTGCCAAATTGCGGTGAAACGGAGTATAGATAAGGCTACGACGGGGGAGGGAATTCTCGTTCTCGAAGTGGTTCACGGCGAAAGCCCCCTTAAGTCATAAGCCTGTCGTTGGCATAAAAGGCAAGGCCAGACCCTACTCTAGTCATTTGGAAGGCAGAGACGATGTCAGGTGAGAAGCGGAAGAGGTCAGAGACTGTGTTGAGCGTGAAACGCACACGAACATAGCCTTCCACTCAACTGGAAACGAGAAGTTTGCAAATTCAAAAGAGAGACAGCTTCCACATCTGTGCAGTATGCGAGTGCAGCTTAATAAACCGTGTATTTCTGGTTGTTGCTGCGCTTGTTGATGAGTGTTTTGAGCCCGATTCGTTATTATGGACGTGTCACACCACGGATGATTTCCGGGGGAACGGAGGCGTTCACATTAACGAGACACAACTGTATGCGATTCCACACAACAGAACGCAGCAGGCGCAAGAAACCATCGGAGTCAATATAATAATAATAAGAAGAATGCCGCGCCAGTGTCATATAACCTTTAGGCTGGGTACAGCAATGTGTGGGGCACGCGGTATATCGACAGTACTGGGTCGGCCGGGACGACTCGTAGCATCTGCCATGGTCCATTATGAGGTGAAACGAAGCGTGCCAGACACCCTAAAACGAGCGCAAAATGCGTGGCCGAGATGTTGGCTACTCACTGAAGAGACCACTGTCAGCCGTTCTCGTTGATGTTGGAGTCCCACTGGAGTGACAGGCAAAAACAACTAACACCAACGAGCAGCGAGCATGCGCAGAAAGCACGCTAAAGTTTCTTTGGCAGGCTCGCAGTCTCTCGTGCTAACACCAGGAGCGTCGAGAGACTGCAAGCCTATTGAAGATACAGTCGGCAGCAAAAGTTTGCAGCGGACGGAAGCGCCAGCCGAAATGACTGGCTGTACCTTCGGACGGCGAGTGGCGGCTCCCGAGACTAACGCTTCGTGAATGCGCTTCCTTTTGCGTTCGCTCACTTCCGCCCGGCGCGCACGAAATAACCGTCACTATTGTTTCTGTATGTCACTCTAGTAGGACTCTGGCACTAGAGCTGTCGTGCTCTCATGTAGAGTCAAAGCTCTGCCTCAGTCGTTCCGCCCCCCCCAAACATATGAAGCTACACCTGCACACAACATTCATTATCATTTCAACGGATGTCTCGTACAGATGCCTCTCTCCTTAATGACAACCTTTGCTTCGCTTACAGTGAGCAACGAGGAGGATCAATCCCTGCTGTGTGGACAGCCGTCCAAGCGGTGTCACGTGCAAATCGTATGTTGCCTCATCATGCGAGCAACGGCCTACAGAGCCCTCCGCTCCCCACCCGTAGGCCGGTAGCCAACAACAGCTGCTCACGTGCGTGGGGGGTCTTTGTCAAGCTCCGGGTTGAAGGGAGGCTCGCTGGTTGGCGACTCGGGCCGGTAGGGGCTACTCCCGTGCGACGACGGTGGCGAGAACTCCGCGGGTTCCTGTTGTGCCTCCTCGTCGTCATTGGCGGGCAGTGGCGGCGGGCGCCGCTGCATCGCAGCCATGGAGGCCGCCAACATCCAGGGTTGCGCAGCCTGGAGCACATGAAGCGCCGCCTGCAGGTCGCTCTCGGTCGGCTCCGGGCAGCTCGCAGAGAGAGCGGCCACCCTCTCCAGGTGCAGCGCGCCCGCCGCGTGGGCCTCCCATTGGAACACGAGCGTGCCGCAGATCGGGCACAGGCTGCCGACCTCGGCCTCCGAGTAGACAGCCCTGGGCTCGTTCGGGTGGCGATCCTGGAGCGTGCGCCCTCGGAACAGCTCGTCCAGGGTGTCCGGTGCGGCGCCGCGCACGCAGCGGGGCTGGTCCCGCCAGCGGGTATGCGACACGAAGGACACGGGCTCTCCGTTCTCCTGCACCGTCCAGGTGGCCGCGGACACCTTGCGGGGCCCGGACAGCCTGCGGTGGACAGGGAGTTGTCTCCGACGACGGCGGACGGGCGGGGGACGCACACGGGGCCGTCCGACCAGCCTTTCGGCGTCGCCAAGAGCAGTCATAAGCCGCCTCTTGGCAGTACGGATCAGGGCCGCTGTGTTCTTGTCCCCATCGGCGCCGTATTTGCCGCCTTGTTTTTGGGACCGATCTTGTCTTCGTGGCATTTGGCTGTCGACGGCTTCCGCCGTCCGATCTCTGCCGAGAACCCGCTCTGCCACCCACGGTAGGACGTCTCTCGACGTTTAACGAGGCTCGAGCTCGACTCTCGCCTTCGCCCGCTCCGGGAAAGAGGAAGGAAACAAATCTTTCGGAGTCGTGCGTGGACCCGGGCTCACCGCTGCAGTTGACCTCACGCGAGGTTCGGGAGCGCTCGGCAAGTCGTGCGCTCAGCGGCGACCGGGACCGGCTATGACCACGAAGAAGATGTGCTGTGACAGAACGTCACGGCATCAGAGAGCTGTGGAACAAATTTGAATTGATGGATGGTTTTGTTGCCAATCGGACATCGTTCTGGACGACGGGCGAAACGAATGGCTCTCTCGAGTTCAAAAACATTTATCTCTCACGTCCCGTCACGTCTCAGGCCAAGGCCGGGTCGCCGCCAGTTTCTGAAGAAAGCACTGGAAAGCGGTCGCCTCTTGAATCGTTGTAGGCGTTTGCGTGAAATTACACCAACGCATCAAAACATTCATTCGGAAGAGAACACGACAAAAGGCCGGAAGTGTGGCCGGAAGTACTGTAGGTGAATAGGTAGATAAATAAAAAGTAATATTTATATTTTTGTATTGGGCGGTAGCTTGCGCAACCTAGTGTCTATACTAGAAAAACAGAATATAAACCAAGACATTGTTCCAAAGTTGTGCCGGTTATGCCGTCTGGCCCAATGCTGGTCTGGCCGTCCTTCCGACCTTGCTTGCGCTTCCCCGCTTGGTCGCTCCAGCGCAAGCGCGGCCACCGAGAGTTCGGGAAGTTCCATATCGGCCATCATGTGCCCCTTGATGTGCTCACAGAAAGTTGAAGGCTGGATGGCAACGTCCTGAAAGACACGTTTCCTGCTCGTTCGCCGTAATTCGCCATTTTTTTTTTTTATTTAAATTTTGTGTAAACCATAGAGTTATTACAATAAACGCTAGAGGCTCAGCTGGCGCTAGTCTGGGGGTAAGCAGCTCTGGGGGAAGGCAGTCTACTTTTGCAGTCTTCCTTTTGTCGAACCGGATTTTCGGGTCAAACTTTTGGGTTCGACCTTTGATTCTTTTTACTAAGGAGAATTTATTTTTACGCAAAGGGTTATTTTATTTTATGAACACTTGCAATTAAAAGAAACCAATTCTAATCACTGAAGAAGTAATAACCTAATTTTTTTTTGTACTGTATTAACTGAAATAACCAATCAGCGGTGCCCTTAATTCCTGCCTTAGCTATCACCATCCAATCCGAAGCCAACTAGCCAGCCTGTCGCGCATGCGCACACGAGTCGAACTTCAATACAAGGTTCGTCGAATTTTTACTACAAGGCCGAAAAAGTCGAACCTGGTCGAACTCGAACCTCGGCCGGTCCGCGACACCCTCTTCGACAGTTTCTCTACTCGTAACAAATAGACCAGTGTCCGCGCCAATTGACTCCGTCATGGGTCCGAACAAACCGTTGCTAGGGTCGTTGTTATGGACAAATACAGGGTGAAACAAGGACCGCAAAATTCGGTTTCTTAACCTATCAGGCTACGACTTTGTGCAGCATTGCCGACAGATGGTGCATTTTTTTCGTAAAATTTGCAAAGAGCGAACTTACCTGAGGAAAAAGTAAAAGAAGAAAAAGGCTTAGCTCCTATGGAAACGCAGCGACGCCACTAGGGGTGTCGCGAACCGGCCGCGGTTCGAGTTCGACCAGGTTCGACTTTTTCGAACTTTTAGTGGAAAGTTCGACGAACCTTGTATTGAGGTTCGACTCGTGTGCGCATGCGCAACAGGCTGGCCAGTTGGCTTCGGATTGGATGGTAATGGCTAAAAGATGAATTAAGTGCAGCGCTGATTGTCTATTTTAGTCAATACAGTACTAAACATTAAGTTATTAACTTATTCAGTGATTAGAATTAGTTTCTTTTAATTGCAGCTGTTCACAAAATAAAATAACCCCTTGCATAAAAGAAAAAATTCTCCAAACCTAGACATGCTTGTATTAATTTCTGGCCACACTGTCCATAAAGTCGAACCGGTCGAATCTGGTGAAAAGTTCGAAGGTTCGTCGACCGGTTCGACTCAGAGGTTCGACTCAGTCGAACCCCGGAAGTTCGACCAAAAAATCTGGTTCGACAAAAGTCCGCGACACCCCTAGACGCCACCGGTCTGCAAACAATACGGCGCCGTTTCGCACGGGAGACAAGAGATGGCGCAACGAACGCCGCCAACGAACGAGCATACGGCGCCGAAAGCCAGCGTCTTTAGCAGACAATCTTTTCGACTCAAAAGCGGCGCGCGTTCCGCAGGCGGCGACAGTCGCAGAAACAAAAACAGGCGCGGTAACAACAAGGAACTGCAGTTCCTTGTCTGCTAAATACGCCGGCTCTCGCCGTCATCTATCTGCTCGTTCGTTGGCGGCAGTTGGCGTCGCCACCGCGTGCGCCATCCCTTGTCTCCCGTGCGAAACGGCGCCGTGTTGTTTGCAGACCGGTGGCTCCGCTGCGTTTCCATAGGAGCTAAGCCTTTTTCTTTCTTTACTTTTTCCTCAGGTAAGTTCGCTCTTTGCAAGTTTTACGAAAAAAAATGCACCAACCGTGGGCAACGCTGCACAGAGTCGTAGCGTGATAGGTTAAGAAACCGAATTTTGCGGTCGATTTAAAGAGCCTGCCGTCTCCTTGTTTCACCCTGTACATGTGGCTAGGTTTCGCTACGAAAACCCGATCGTACAAAAATCGGGAGTACGATTTAAACTTCCAAAAATCACAGATATAGAAAGCTTGAATGTCATATATGTTGCAACAGAAGTGTGCCGGTAATCGCTTGTTTCTGAAATATTTACGACTGCAACTTCTGGTCCTCAAGATGCCTGCAGCAGACGACGAATGCAAAAAGAATGCCGTCTGTCATACGCCCGCCGGCCAAGCCGGCGCCGGCGTCTGAATCGGGTGAATAAAAACGATATTCTGATATTGCATTTGTTTGTTTTTTTTGTTTTTCAGACACTTATAAGAATTCATAGTGGGGTGCGATGCAAAATATGGTTTATCGAAAGTCCGGGCGTCGATCGAGATGATCGTCTGCTAAAAGATCGCAATGCACCCGTGAGAAAAGCACTTCAGGCTATCGGTAGAGATCCCAAATTTTGTTTGCGGACTCGCGCTAAGGGAGGTTGCTTCGTATCTGATTGTAACCATCGCGTGGAGAAAGATTCTTGCAGTTTCTTCCGATTTCCGCAAAACCCCAAAACGCGAAAGAACTGGATAAAAAACAAGGTGAGTTTATTACAGATTGTACTCTCATCGCGGGTTCGATGGAGATCTTCACCGAAAGAGCACATCCATTAAACTTAATGTAGACAAAAAAAAAAAAAAAAAAAATTGCGAAATTGCGATAGACATGCAATATTTTAATAACCTGTCAACCTCAATAATAATGATAACAAACGACTTATCTCGACGGCGTACTATTTGTTTCTCATGCTGACCGGCATTACGCCGGTAATGCACTTCAGGTCGTCGTCGTAACTGATCTGCATGACGTGGTTTGATTTTACGGAATTTTCGCCCCTCTGAGCTAAGCTGGGTTCTTCACAGAAAAAAACGCACACTGCAGAGGCCTCTGCGGCCATGGCGATTCACTTGCTTGTGTTGCTCGTTTACCGACGAAATTCAATGAAGACGCCCGCTGCAACAGAGGCCAGCAAATCTATCGTGTCGTCTGCTACCAAAGCAAAGCGGAGTGGAACACTTCAGAAATGGCTTTCATCGTTGCAATACGAAGCTGAGATGACAAGAACATCTTCATAATTAGATATCAAGAAGTTAGGTTGCTTACGACAAATTATTTACTTACTTATAAGCGAAAATCTAGCCTCGTGTGGAGTCTCCACGCATTAACCCATAGCAACGTCCCTAGCAACGTTTGTTTGGACCCAGAACACGGTGACCCAGATATGGCGGCATAACCCCATTAGACCGTTCCATTAGGGTCATAGCAGAGAGGGTAAAAGAGAAAAAAATGCACTCCCCCTCTCGCCCCGCATCTCGTCCGCTCCGCCGATTGGGCTGTAGCTAGCGTCCGGCTGGCGTGCAAACTCTGTTTAAAATCGCGTCATTTTGGAACTTTCAAGCGCAGATGCGCAGATTTTGGTATGCCAGTTGTCGTGTAATACTATGCTAGATAAAAAAAAACTAACAGAGTCCAACTGCGCTGTTATCTGCGTGCAAATAAAAAAAAAAAATAGGGAAAACTGTGTCAGAGTGGCCGGTCTCTCCGGCGAAAAGTGAATCCGGTGGCTGTACCTTTTTTACCATACTAAGTACGTACTAGTGTAGGTCCTTTAGCGAACATGAGTGGAAGTCTGAGATAATAAATAAAACGTGCTCTCCTGCCGAAATACACGCAGTAGTTGAGGGTAGTACTGCCGGCTGACTCAACTGCTATTTAAGTAACGGAAAAAAAGATACGCTAGTTGATCATTTAGCGAAATAGAACAGAGAGCTATAGGCTGATTTTGGAGTAGCCACTACTATTCTAAGAACGCAAACCACTTCACAACGGCAGCCACGAGCGAGCGTTCGATGTTCCGCACTGCCCGCCGATACAGCCCAAAGATGGAGAACGGCAACGTCCCGGTTTGTCGTCTGCTAGCGGAGTCGGCGCGTGCCCTCTCTCTCGTTTTACCCCGCCGAACCCTGCGGAACTTCCCGGATGTGTGGAGAGGGCGCTGCGGTCGAACAAAATGGTGCCGCCCAGAGAGCGCTAAATGGAATGGTGAGAGTGCATGACGTCGGCCACGTAGCCTCCACAAGCCATGCTCCCTTGACGCCTCGCCTCTTTCTCATTTTCCTCCTTACTCTCCTCACTTACCATGCCAACGTGACCATATCACGTGACCGTAGCTAGACTTCGTCTTGCTGTGGGGTACTAGAATACACCACAGTCTAGACTTCGACTTGATAAAACCTACCGGACGGAGCGCGCGCAAGCCACTGATCTCTATGTCTATTTGCTGGATCGCGTAATGCGGTCACTGGCGGCCATCTTTAGGTAGAGTTATATCATCTCTAGCCATCATAATAATATGGCGGACAGCGCAATGGTGGCAGTCTGCCATAAACACTGATCTCTATGACAATTGCTGGATCGCGCTTCCCCGCTTGTTCGCTGCAGCGCAAGTGAAGCCACCGGGCTTCACTCGCTTGGGATACGATTTGCCGTTTTTGCTAGCCTTTGCTGCGGTTTTCCAGCGTGCTGACGACACGTTTTCTACTCGTTCGTCGTCATTCGCCGAAGAAGTTTTTTGAAGACTCTGTGTATGTTGAGACTTGCCGTTGTGAACACGTGGAAAATTTTACGAAAGTGCAGTGTCGCAGGAAAAAGGCACAACGCGTCGAAAGGAAGGGCTGGCGGCGTGTTCAAAGATTCCTTGGCACGCCGAAGTGCCGTGTCTCTGTGCCTTCGCACGCTTGGATACCGACCAAGAACCGACGCCGTGTGTATGTGTTCAGCGAGTGCAATGTGCGTGAAGCTGTTCGTGCCTCTGGATCAGCGTCTTTTCC